AGTGTTTCTTTTAGAGACTCCAGGAAGGTAAAATTAGCACTTTGCTAATTTCAAGCCAAGTGATTTGGCTTCCAGGGTTTCAGGTTTACTCAATCCTTGGAGAAGCCAGATGAGATCTTTCTTCACCCTGATGGAGAAGACCGCACCATCTAGGTGGTCCAGGTTCCTGCTAATTTTAGAACTGGAAATAGCAAAACATTTAGCAAAATGTGGCAGCGTATGGATTTTACACTGACTGATGAAGCAATGCAAGTGACTTTTAGACAAATTTTAGACAAAAATTTTAGACTGGGTGGGGACTAACAAGAGGGGGTTGCTCTGTCAAGGAGGATAAAGGAGGTTAAATACCAAACCAGATTATTTGCAACTATGAAATTGAAACAAGGAAACCTTCTGGGGATTCTGGCAGGGGAGGGGTGGGGGGTGGGGTGGGGCAAGTGTACTAGGGAGGGTGAAATTGACCAGAGTACAGTATAAACATGTATGAAGATACAACAGTGGAATCTCCTCCTGTATATCTAATATAAAAGTAATAATGATGAATAAGAGGAAGATAGAGGAGGAAGAAGAGAAAAAAAGAGGAGGAGGAAAAAAGGAGGAGGAGGAGGAGGAAGAGGAACAGGAGCAGGAGGAGCAGGAGGAGGAGGTGGAGGAGGAGGAGAAGAAAGAATACTAGCAGAGGAGGGGGGGAGGAGAGGGAACAACATTTATTTAGACTGCAACTTTTGTATACCAATGAGTAAAACCCTTTCAAAGTAATCACTTGTTCAAAAGCACATTTGAAATTCCAGTCTACGGCATTATTCGTCGTAATACACAAGCTATTTGGGGCCAAAATTATTCCATACTAATTACGTACCAAATTTGGTCTGGAGTGAGGTTGTGTGTTCTTTTTCTCACAAATCAGATCCATCCAACTGGAGCAGGTCATCTGAAGAAGCAATGTCACAAAGGCTTTGAAGGATGATTTTACTTTTGCAATGAGGACAAAGTGATCTCGGGGGTCACATGGAAGGGAACAGCATTCATTTGGATAGTTAAGTTCCAACATGTTGGTTTTTTAAAAGCCAGAGACACAGAGAATAGTCTATATACATAATTTCTGCAATTGCGATTAAATGTGGGATAGAAGAAGTGGGTCCCACTACTCCCTCCCAGTGGGGCACCCCACATAGGTGGGGTCTCTGAGCACATCAGGTAATAATATCTTTCTGGCCTGTCCTGCCCTTTAGAAATTTCTCAGATCCAACTGGGCTACCAGGTTATCATCTTCTTTCATTATTTTAACATATGGCTTATTTCAAAAATATATGAGACACTTTATTTTTCCCTGCTTTTTCTAAATGGAATGATAGTCTGCATTTTTTCATCATATAACTTATTGTCTCAGGATTATGATTTTTTTATATGTTAAAGTTTAAAGCTCTAAACCAAATTACCACTTACTGCCCTTAGTTTGAGTGTGCTTTTATTCATCTCATAGTATATTTAGTATATTTAATCCAAATGTCCAATAATGATCTTTCATGTCAGTATTACCTAAGGCACCTAGGATGGTCTCCCAAGATAATAATGTTTTTGAATTTGGGGTAGCATTCTTGGCTTCTTTTTAATTATACATCCATAGCACCCGGAAATGAGTTTTAGTCTAACAGTAAAATGTATGACAAACAGAAAATAGGTTCTAGGCATTGATGTAAGATAAATTTGAAGGGTTTAAAAAAAAACACAAAACCTGATGTTATTGAAGGAAGAGCAACAGCATACATTTTGATCATCTTTGGACCCCAAACAGCTTTATGAGACTATTCAACACAGTGAGCATATTTAATTAAGCTTTAGTCTTCTGTTTCCCTAGTCCCCAGAGTTCCAGAGTGCCATGGCTGAGGGAGAGGCTGGGGTAGAAGGACAACAGATCATATCTTGCCAGGCTGAGTTAGGCCAGTGCAGCTGCTGGCCTGGGCATGGGCGTGGGTGGCCACCTGTGGCTCCCAGAACAGCTGTTTGGTAGAAGGCCAGCTAAAGCCCCATGGTGGGGTGGAGACAGGAGGCCACTTGGGCGGCCAATACATTCTGGCATGGGCTGAAAGAACACCTGGTTCTACTCTGTGGACCCACCGCAGGTCAAAAGAATGTTCTTGCTGGCGGAAACCCTATGGCCGAAGTTTTTGAGTCCCAGTGGTCTTTCTCGGGCTGAAATATGGAGAAGCCCACCTTTCTCCTTCAAAATTTATTCTGAAGTCAATCCTGGGATCATGCTGCTCCAGTTGTGTCGAAATAGGTCCGCTAGGCCATTTGGTATGTCTGTAAATGGTGTAGGGGACTTTCAGGCAGGGATGGGCTCTGTGGTTTGCAGCGAGTGGACGTTTCAGAAGAGCGGGGAGCACTCTATAGGCAAGTGTTTGGCAACTGACTTCTGTGGCAGTCAGCTTTCATCCTACATGGGCTCTGACCTCGTCTTGTTCCCCTTCCCACAAACAATCTACAGGCTTCGAAACCACGGTGGGATCATCAGACACTAGAATTTTCATACTGATCACTGGCCCCTGCCAAGATGGGAGCCCTAAGCGCCACCTTCCTCGGACTGACCCCTGAAGCCTCTCTGGTGACTTTGTGTCCGCTGTTTTCCAAGAAGGAAGGTCTGGTTTCTTCAGGCCTGAAGAGTCAGTTTCCCTCCGACAGGGGGCATCCTTCTCTACTTCCTGATCCAGAAGGTGACCAGGCAGCTCCTCCTCTGCCTGTTAAGAAGCTGATGCTCCTCACGGCAGTTTCCTGACTTCTGGTTCAACCTTTCTGAGCCCCAGTTCCAACACTTGTAGATGGGGATTCATAATAGCATCCTCTTAGTTTAGCTGTGGCTCATTCTAAGAGAGACCATATGCTAAACATCTAATGCAGGACCTAGACCCCATAGGTATGCACATCTGTGAGCTATATGAGCAAATGGGTGTCTCAGTGTCAGTCTCTGGGCACAGAGGCCACACAATGTCCTTGAGTGATCCTGGGTTGGTCCTTTTTCTATTGCCGCCTTTGCTTGTGATTTCAGTGGTCCCATCTCCTCTAATGCTATTCTGACAGTGGCAATTCAATACGAGTACAGGACTGTGACCCTAAGCTGGCATGCCGCTCACAATTGCCCTGGCTAGGGACACAGACCAGGCCCTTCCCACAAGTGCATCAGCTTTGATCTAGTTGACATCACCTTGTGTGATGGCCTGAGGAAAAAGGCAATCTCACTTCTGGGAGGCCTGGAGTTGGTGAGATAAAAGTTTCCCCTACCTCTGTAAGGTAGATATATCTCCCTATTCCCCTTTCCAAAGGCTTAATTATTGTAGGCTTGGTCCCAGCTGGCAGAGTCGATTGCTGAGAGGTGATGGGACCGACCGTAAGGGTTCTGACCTAATCAGTGGATTCAGACCCCAATGGATTCATGATTTGAAGGCATTATTGGGATGGGATGGAAACTTAGTTGGAGGAAGAAGGTTGCTAAGGTATATCATCTGGGACTCCTTCCTGCTTCCTCCCTGCCTCCTTCTGTGCTACTATGAGATGAGCAGCTCTTCCTTCCACCACTCCCTTCTCCCATGACATTCTTCCTGACACCCTGCTCTCTTGCCACAGACCTGAAACCAATGGAGGCTGCTAGCCATGGATGTAAACCTCTAAAACCATGAGCCAAAGTGAATTACCTGGCTTTTGGGAACGTAAAACCTTTAGGATGGCATTAGTGCTCCCTGGGAAGTGGCAACATCTCCATAGAGGACAGATTGTCCATTGAGTGAGTACCCTTAGTATGATGTGATCCTTTAGATACTTCAAAGGAGGAGGCATGTCACTCAAAGCATGAAAACAACATACAAGGAAAGATAGACTCCAATCTGAAAGATCTAAGTGAAAGCAAGCCCTCTCTCTTGGCAAGTCCCAACCCAACCCTCAGCAGCACTAACCTTTGCAAATACAGTGATGGTGCATCCCCATGAGAACCAACAATTGGTACCACAATCAGCTACTTCGGGCACCTAGCGTGATCTGTGGGAAATCTATTTCCAACCTTAATCATTTTATTTGGCCAAACCCGATTTCTGTTCTTGTTGTTTTTTGAGACAAGGTCTTACCATGAAGCACAGTATGGTCTCAAATTCCTGATCTTACTGTTTTAGTTTCTTGGGTTATAGGTCTTCATCACTACTTATGGCCCAACCTAGTTTAATGTATGATGTGTGTGTGTGTGTGTGTGTTTGTGTGTGTGCATGTTTGCATGTGTATGGGGCAGGGAGATACTGGACTAGAGGAGCATTATGCTTATTCTACCTCTTATGCAACAGGTGAAGTTGTCATTAAAATATTAAACAGTTAAGCATCTAGGAAGGTTATGTTCAGATTTAAACTATTTTTATATTATAAAACTATAGATAATAAATATATAAAATTACCATTTTATGTTATTGTGTCAGAGGGCACCAATGCTATTCCACCAATGCTATTAGTTCACCTTCAGATTAAAAGGAAACGTGTGAATGTGGGAAAAGTGTGTCTATCATGCTTCTATGTTCCTTGTTCAGTCTCTGTAGAAAAATCCACCAGGTTGCATTACTTGGTCCTCACCCGAAGAATTTACAGGGTAAGCAAGCAAGGAAGGAAAGAGTTGTGCACCTCCAGAATGAAGATGTGTGGCAATGACCAAATGAACTTCCTTTCTAGCCTCAGAGTAAGTAGCTGGTGGGTATTTGGCTCTTCTGCAGGAGGTGTAGCTCCAATGAAAATCCTGAAGCCCTTGCATTTAGATCAGACTAAAATATCCTCAGATAGGTGCAGTGCCCAAGAAAGGTATTTTGGTTATTTCAAGCTGTATAATTCAGATAATATAAATGTGATCTCCCAAGGGAAGAATTCCTTTCACTGAGTTTAACACAAGCTTTTCAGGAAACAGACCACTTTCACTGAATTGTTCTTACAAGCTGAATTTTTTATTTTTACTAAATTATCTATATTTTAAAAAATCTGTGCCTGGTGTGGAATTTCACTCCATCAAGTGTTACAATGACTTTTTTTTTTTCATTTTCATTACAAGCAAGAGAATGAATGTAGGACAAGTGTTAGGAAACATGGCAATAAATTAGAATATAATTTACAAAAGCGAAAAAAGTAACAGTGTACCACATTAATACTGCATATAAAATAATAAGCAACAACTAATCACAATAATACAAAGGTAATTTCATTCTGTATTATCAAGGATACTTACTGTGACATTCACTCAAATAGAAAAATTCCTAATGGAATATACTGTAAGTCTCATGTAGTTCCAGGGATTCAATCATTTGGGTACATTTACATTTCCTTTGTTTGGTAGACAGTTATACTAATGGCAGAGACTACTCTCAGCCATGGGTACCTAAGCAGATGCTACAGCTTTCCGACCACCTGCCAGGGCAATGGAGCCTCTACTGAAGATCTTATTGTTTTCACTTAGGAAGAGAGCCTCAGGAAGCCACATGAATGGCTACAGTAGCACTGATATTGAAACATGTTGTGGAATGTGTTGGTCTTTTCTCTCTTCTCTCTCTCTCTCTCTCTTTTTTAAAGCCAGTTCAGGTTTAAACTCAGGGCCTACCTGAAAATGTTTAAACCTGTTACATTCTCTGCTTGGTTCCATCTTGAAAGGCATGCTATGCTCCAGGGTAAGGATCACCCTGCTTTTGGTGCTGATGTATGACCCAGAAGGGATTCAGGCTTCGGTCCTCTCCCCCACCTCTGAGGTGATGCACAGGACCCCTGGGATAGCCCTTGCGTTGTTAGCTTCCACGTGGGGGTGAAGCAGGACCTTTGGTCAGTAATGTATCTTTTTGAAATAAAAACATATGCTGATATTTGTGTTAGTGACAATCAGATCTAGATAGGAAACCTATGCTTAAACTGCCACAAAAACCACGTATGCGCTATTTAATTTCACCAGGGCACATTAGCACCAAGTTTATATTTCTTTGAAAAGGATCAAGAGGGAATTCAAGCTTCAACTGCACTGCCCATAAGCTGCTTTCCCTTCACATATTAGCTAGTGTGGTGCTTGGACTGGTCTTCCAAGGGCAGTTACATGGGGTTTGACAATATCTCTTGTATATCAAGAGACCTTCCTGAAAACTCAGGGATAGGAACTGTGGTATTGAGAGACAGGCAGGGTATAAGATGTGGATGGTTGTGAAGGAATGTACAGAAAACAAGCCAGTGCCATCTAGCCACAGCAGAAACCTGAAAGATTAGGTGACATTTGGTATCTGAGTTTCTTTTCCTTTTAGAAAAAAAAATGAACCATGGTGTGTATGACACATGCTTTTCAACTGTACATATTATGCTTACAAAGTAGCCATTTAGTTTTGGTGAATGCATGATCTACATGTATGTGCACCAAAGAAGGCCTGTTAGACACAGAGCACATTCATCAAGAACCTGCTATGAGCTACAGAGTATTCAAGTACAAAGTGTTATTAAAGAGTACCCTTTTAAAAACTAAGCTGTTGAGTCTTTGGACACGCAAGATGTGAAGATAGGGAAGATATGGGCTAGTCATTTTAATTTAAGTGGATGTCATTCTAGAATTTGACTTGCCCAAGAAATTGGGCTTCACATTTGACATTAACAAAACAGTATCCATAAAAAAAAAAAAGCACGAAATACTTGGTAGGATGATGGTTAAAATTATGCCATATGCTCTCTAGTCTTGGTGAGTTTTTCTTCTTTGGTTGTTGTCCCTTGCCTACTTTCAAACTCACAAAATAGCACATTTATGTGCAAGCACACTCATCTATCTGCATACTCAGAAGTGCCTGCACACACACACACACACACACACACACACACACACACACACTTGCTCTCATATAAATAAATGCCCTTCTACCATATCAAAGAAGGGACATCTGGAACGCATCATAATTGTCAGCAACTTGCAAAAGGGGCTGCCTGGTTGTTACTGAGCGGCCTATCTTTTGTATGGCATCATCTCAGTAAGCTGGACATGCACGCAACAATCGAAGGCAGAAGCTGATCTGTGGCTGGTGAAGATGTAAACACAGTGAGTTGGAGGGACTCAAGTGAAAAATAAGGCATCCTGTGTGGTGTGGTGGTAGTGAGGGACCCGGTACTTCAGTCTCTACCATACCACAGGTCTGGCTTCTGGATGAAATTGCAATGTTTTTCTCTTAAAGTTTTTAATGGAAATCTCAGCTTCACTTGCACACTGGCGAGTTGGCCACCGTCTCTTAGCACTGAATTTATAGACTTGCACAGCTGCAGCAACCGCTGCTCTGCTTTAAACTAAGTCCCTCATTGTCCACGTTAATATAGTTTTATATATGGCTCACAGCAGTGTTCAGAACAGGGGGATTATTCCTAAGGAAATTAAGTGGAATGGAGAAAAAGAATACAAACTTCCATTACTTTTGATTTATAATTGGTCCTTAAATTACAGTTCAAAGCCCATTTTATAATTTAAATTGTGGTGCTGTTGTAGTGAGATAAAGTATAGTAAATATTTTTTAAGCTATGACTTAAGAATTCTGAATCTTCTTTTACTTCCATAGTTAACCAAGTCATAACAGCTACATTTTAAACAGTTTTAAATACAAATGGATTCAGTGTCATTGCTAAGTCCATAATAAAAATTATCTTAATGGTCCAAGGAGGTAAACAGGCTATTGGATTTACTCGAAAGAACACAAACGCTCCACAGTAAGCAAGTCTCCCTGTGTTGTTTGGATCTCTCCAATCTGGCATTCCCTCCTAATACCGTGTCCAGCACTTTGGATCAATAAATCCCACTTCACAGAAGTTAAAATAATATTGAAATCCTGTCAGCTAGGGCTGACCAGTGGTTATGTTTTCCACAGGGTAATGCTTTCGCAAGGACATCAATCCTCTTCCTCTGGGTGGCTCTCCTTGATGGATGCATTTCCACGATGAAATGACAAGGCTCTCTCTCTGGCTTTCTGTGGGTCAGTGGCCTTGGCAGGTCTTACAACACATCTGTCTGAAGTATGCTCGACTGCAGAACTTGAACTTCAGCACGAGTGGGCAATAAGCCACTTTGTTCACATCTTTGCACTCTAACGAATGGAGGGAGAAAATGGAAAACAATTAGGGGCACATAAACAAGTACATAAACAAGCTGATGTGTCTGGATGTTTAGCAAGGACTCCCGCACCCCTCTCATTTTGGGCCAGTCCACCTTGGCTTCCACATCCATGTGGTTTTTGTTTTTGTTTTTAAGCATGCCCTGACTGGTACAGCCTACCAGAAACATTCTTTTGATATAGTTTAGCCCAGAATTTTTTTTTTTTTGCAAGGCTTTCCTTCCAGACTTTTATAAGTATGGTGCATGCCCACTGCGTCTTGAAAGAATTACCATTTGTTGGGATAAGTGATCACTTTAGACAGCTTGGAAACATGAGTCATTTTTCTTACAGAGCTTTTATTGCTTCTTTCTCAAGGGCTATTTTATTCAACAGTGCAAGGTTATCCAAAATCAAACATGAGTTGTATTCTTTGATACCAAAGTACACGTCTCGTCTCGAGAGAATCTCTGCATCTGTGAGGCGAGGGACGGGCCTGAGTGAATGAAAAGGGCTGCTGACGGTGGCCTAGATTCAGCAACTGCACTAGACAAAGAAGAAAGCTTCGAGGGCTTGGCCTCAAATGGCAGCAGTCTGTGGGTTATGGAAACATGTAGAAATGTCTTTTTTTAATTTGGAAGTGAGACATGGCCTCCTTTTTTCCTATGTGTATTTTCTCCTCAGCGCTAGAATTGCCACAGTTGCAGTTTATAGCTGTTGCAGCCAGAAGGTGAATAAATGCTCTTTCCCCCCCAGCTCCCGCGGTGGCTGCTTGCAGAGGTAGCCACAGCAGCTCTCCACCCGCCAGCCACACAATCCCACTGCTGCTAACGGTGGCGGTGATAGTCATCTCCAGAATCTGCAACACTTGTACCAGGAGATTTAAAAGTACTTTATCAATCTAGTAATTACATTCTTACACACTTCCAAGAACAAAATGCCACCCTTGCTTTTTCCAGGCTGACTGTACTGAAGCATCCTGGGTAAACTCTCTAAGGTAATTAGGACTCAGGTAGGGTACTGTTTGCTTGATTTTTCCTGGCTTCAGAAACCCACTAAAACTCTAATATCTGTTACATGAGCACAGGATAAACGTGGAAAAATTAAATGTAAAGAAATGGGAAAGTTTCCAGTTCTTCTTATTCGAAATGTAAGGTAACAATCTTACTGATCTCACTGTCAAAGCCCTTTCAATGACAGTTAACATTTGAAACTGGAACCCTCAAATCCTCCAAACACATAAACTCTGCCACTTATTCAAGATTTGATTTACAAAGAGAATAATATTTAGAAATTCGAACAGAAACTTTTCACATTAGGACTCTCAGTAAATTTGAGTTTTGGCTGAAAGATGGTTAAGAAGTACAAAAAATATTCTTAAAACTTTTTACTAAAAATTGGATAATATTTGGTGGATCCTATGTGAATCTGAGGGGAAAAGAGCACATATTTTAGACTAGAGGTTAATCAGTATTGTATTTTATTTCTCTTCTTTCTAATTAGTCATGATCAGTAAACTTACCCAACTCCCATAAAAAGGTTAGAAGGTGAATATTTTGTGAAAATATGAATATTTTTCCCAAAATAAATATTTTGGGGAAATTTTTTTAGCACTGTTACCAAGAGGAGTCTATTGTCAAGATAATACAGTTACCAGAGTGGGAAAAAAAAACTGAGCCTACCCCTGGTAGGCTCAAATCACATTATACTCTGCAACAGGTCTTTGTAAGACTGTTTCAAATACAAAAGTAAACTTTGGCTTTGACCTTCTTTGCCAAAATATAAAAATGATTTAACTTATAAACAGATAGAAGAGAACTGGTTGTTTCAATAGTACAAGAACATAAAATTAGAAGCCAGACTGCCTGGATTTAATACTAGCTTTGTTGTGTACCACCTTTGTGAAGCAATCACTCTTCTGTTTCTAAAGCTTTTTCATTTGTCACTAAAGAGTGATTATTCACTCTACTATGGAACATGGGTGACTACAGGTTTAACAATTACAGCATCTGCACAGAAAACACACGGTAAGTGTAAGAGACTGAATTGATATTATCATCAGTCGTGAGTTAGCATCTCTTATTGCCAGAAGTTAGGAAGGAAGCAAGAAGTTAAACTCTAAACTTCTCAATGGGAATGCACTATTTGAATTGCTCCTGGGAAAATACTGCCCTAAAAATACAAGTCCAGTTGTCTCAGTTATTTAGAGTAGCCTAAATGATTGCTTCCTACCTTTCATCAGTTTAATGAGTGGACAGACAATGTTTAGATACACCAAGAAATTGAATTGCTATTACATTACTACAGAAATGGAGGGACCAAGGGTAAACAAAGGCAGCAGTAGTCTTCACTGGACACCATGTTGAACTATACAATGAACTATTCAACTTGTGGGTGGAATAGGGGGGAAAAATTGGGAGAAAGCAAGAGAAGGGGTAACATTGTCCAAAGGGAAATGTATTCTTTGTATCTGTAACCAGTCTGTTTAATAAAGATTTTTAAATAAAAAACAATTTTTTTAAAAAAAGAACTGTTTTGAATTGGTGTATTCATCCTTGACATTGTCAGTTTTAGCTTAGCTAGAGAGGACTGCTTTGTTCTAGGCTTGGATTGACTTGCTGACATAATGATGATGTAGTTGAGGGGACTTAATTACAAAACTTATCCTTTCACAGCTCTTCCTCATTCTCAAAACTCATTACAATTATGAAATAATTTTTTGTCTTCTACTCTTGAGCCAATATATAATACAGCTAACTTTTGTAAAAATAAAATAAAATGAAATAAAACTCAGGGAAAATTGTATGTAAATCAGATTTTTTCCCACTAAAATCAAAACAGTAATTAAGTGTTGTGTCTTAATATATGAATGATCATAAATTGACATTGATTTCTGGGTAATACTTAAATATTTCTCTACACCCAAGTAGTATTTTTATCCACAAATAAATACCAATAGATCTATTCAATAAATCCCTTAGGTCTCTTCCTTCTCCTCTCCTTCCTCCTCTTCTCCCTATCTATTTACCCTTTCTTCTCTCCTCTTCCCTCTTCTAATTGAGACATGATCTCACTATGTAACCTAGGTTGGCCTCAAACTCATGGTCTTCCAGGGAAGATTGAAAAAAATATTTTCTATAAATTCATCTGCCTTAAAATTTTTGATCTTTACTGTCATATTTTTCTCATGCTATGCAAGCATTCTATCACTGCCCTACATCCCAAGTGCTTTTCTTATACTTTAAGATCATGGAATCTGAGCCATAAGTGGCACAGATTTTCAGAGGAAAGAGTCTGAGTTTTCTGTTCCACTATGAGCAGGATATCCTGGCTACACCAGCTAACTACTCTCCTGGGAGGAGAATGGCAAGACCCTCTTGTAAGGAGACTGGACGGGGAAGAGGTCCTTATTATATGGTTTCTTCTTTCTCTTCCTTCCTTTCCTTCTTTCTCTTTCCTTCTCTCTCTCTCTCTCTCCCTTCCTTCTTTCCTTCCTTCCATCCTTCCTTCCTTCTTTCCTTCCTTCTTTCTTTCCTTCCTTCCTTCTTTTCTTTTTCCTGGTCCCAGGGCCTGAACTCAGGGCCTGGGGCCCTGCCTCTGAGCTTTTTTTGCTCAGGGCTTAGTGCTCTACCACTTGAGCCAGCTACAGCACCACTTCTGGCCTTTTCTAAGTAGTGTTTTGGAGATAAGATTCTCATGAACTGGACTGTCCTGCCCAGGCTGGCTTTGAACCACAATCCTCAGATCTCAGCCTCCTAAGTAGCTAAAATTACAGGCGTGAGCCATAAATGTCTGGCTTATTATTATTATATGGTTTCTAGGACACATTCTGTGGGCCTAACAAGTCTCTGCTTTTATACTTTATTCCATTCCTATTACACACACACACACACACACACACACCACTGTACCCAAGACCAAGGAATTCTAGTAGGAAAAAATCAATTCATCAAATATGCCAAAATTCTTAGAAACACATCAAGTACCTAAAGCCAGTCCCTGTGTCCCTTGAAGTGAACTAGATCACTATTAGGATTGTAAATAACTTGCCACACCCACATTGGAGCAGATCTTATTGGCAAACCAGGCTTTAGTAGAGTTGAATGATAAAATCACACAACCTTTTCCATAGGTAGCACGTGAATCTATATATCATTGATGTGCAATGGGATTCCCCCGCCCCCCGCCAGGTGCTTTACATTAGTCTTTCAAAAACACTGATCTAAAAGATATGCTTTCAAAAACCTTACACATTTAGGATGCAGTGGGATTCAAATTCATTCTGACTTTAAAGTCTTAATTTGGCCTGGTGACTAGACAAACTCCTCCAGTGGAGTACTTTAGCATTTAGTTCATCAACCACTCTAAGGCTTGCCAACTAAATCACTGGAGTGCATGGAGACACCCACACACAGATTTGTCCATGGCCACAGTAGACACTTCAGTATCTGTCTTTGTAGAACAGTATCATAGATTCTCTGTGCCTAAAAGCTGCTTATGAGATTCAGACAAACATAGTAAGCAGAGTTAGGAATTAAGCCTAAGGCATTTCTTTTGGATTATAAAAAATAAACAAGTACAACACAGACATGTTTCTGATAGACTACCCATAGAAATGGAGAGCTTGGTAAGCAATGGAAAGACAAAGATGAGCAGGATGCATTCCTATATAGAAGTTAAGATTGGGGAGGTGTCCTCTGTGAGCTCTTCTTGATAAGGTTGCACTTGAGCCATTGGCATTTTATACATTTTATACATCCTAGCCAAAGAGGAAATAACAAGTCTCACCTGGGACATTATTCACTACTATTAGAGCAGTGCACCAACTTCCTTTTATCTTGAAGCTAGGTAATACTAGCTAGCAAACTCCATTCTGATTTCATGTTACCGTGGATGAATCCTTTCTCTCTTTGCTTTCCCATTTTGTTTTTGCCCAGTTCAATTCCCTGGATGCCACCCACATCCACCTCCATGTGGCATACTGCAACCCAAGTCCAGACAGCCAGGAATGTGAACCTGAACTCTTAAGTAGATTATGAGCTCTTTGAAGTGGTACATAAAAAATTAAAAACTGACTTTCCCTACCTCCTAGAAATCAGCATTCAAATGGTCTTTATTGTTTTTCTCACTGATTTTTAATATCTCAGGTTCCACACTAAAATCTAAATTCAGTAGCTATTTTGTTCCAGTGATCTCAGCATGAGACCTAGGAAGCCCAGAAGGCTTTCCCAAGTTCTTTGTTGAGGGAGACTCAGATCCATCAAAAGCCACCATCAGACATCAGAGGCTAGGAAACCAATATACTCTGAAGACACCTGTCCTGGGTGGGTTACCAGCTCATGGAACACCTTGAATCATTAACTGACAGCAATAAATACGAGATGACCCAGTGTCTTGTGCTGTCAAGAAGTGGAAAAGACTCACCATATAAAGTACAAGGAAACTTGAAACTGCATGCACAATACAAAAATGGCATTTTTGGATAGTTTCATGTGAGCTTTAGTAGGCTAGTCCTAGCTGCCGTACATACTTTAGAAATTTTGCACATTGTTTCAAATGCAGTGTGACAATAATTCAACCTCAGCAGCAATGGTGTGTTACCCTCATCAGTGGCAGTCTGTGTGTGACAATAATTCAACTTCAGCAGCAATGGTGTGGCAGTCTGTTAAGCTGTCAAGATCATGCTTATGTTTTAGCCTTTTGCTGACAGCTTTCAGAAATAGAAAACTAAAGCAGATGTTGAATATAGTAAATTATATCTCCCTTTTTCCTTTTCCTATTTCCCTTCCACTATTTTGGCTTCTTGATGCCCTATTTATCTTCCTCATTCTCTTTAACTGTCACAACTCTCTCTCTCTCTCTCTCTCTCCTGTCTCTCTTTCTCCCTCCCTCTGTCTCTCTCTCTCCCTTGAATTCTATCTATCTATTTTGTTGTTGTTTTTTGCTGCTGAGTAACTGAATCCAGGACCTTGCATAAGTTAGGTAAGCATTGCTCTATCACTAAGCTGTATTCCTAGACTAAAGCCTCTTACTTCCTACTTTAAACAATGATAATAATAGCATCTATCGAAATAATTTATTATTTTTCAAGTAAAAATGATATAAACCTTTCCTAAAAAGATATATTTTTTAGGCTAGACCTATCAAGTTTGAAAGATGTTTCAAAATTATATCCATTGTTCTAGTTTCCTTAAGACTTTGGTTTAAGAAAAATGATCATCAGGTATGACAAAATACAGAGACATAGCATTTTTGCCAAATGTCTGGTATGGTGGTGCACACCTGTATACTAACGGGGGGCGCAGGAGGATTACCACATTCAAGGCAAACCTGGGCTACATTTTGAGAACTTGTGTTATAAAAAGCAAAACAAAACAACTAAAAAGTATATATAAATTTAGTGGAACATATATGTTTGGCTCTATCAAATCTGAGTTCAAATTCTTTCCTACTATTTCCTAGCCTTGTTAATTTGCACAAGTAACCCTTCCTCTCTGTGCTTGAGTTTCTTTATCAGTAATAACTCTCAAAAGATTGTTGTCAGCATATTAAGCATACATACACATACAGGGAGGTATATTTATGTATGTCACACAAGTAAGATGGGTAATATAAAGGGTCTAATAGAATAACCTGATAGTTATATTTTTCCCTCCCACTGAACTTTGTACCTTGACATTGTGAAAGAAATGTACTGGCTAATAACTTACAATGGATCAGTTATTTGCCATAGCTTCATGAAAGGGAGAGATTTTTACTTAGATTATTTAAGAGACAATTTCTTTTTTTTCCTTTCTTCCTTCCTCCCTTCCTCCCTCCCTCCCTCTCTCCCTCCCTCCCTCCTTCTCTCTCTCTCTCTCTTTCCTTTCTTTCTTTTTCTTTCTTTCTTTGTCATGGGGCTTGAACTCTGGCCCTGAGTGCTGTCCCTGAGCTCATTTCAGCTCAAGCTAGTGCTCTAGAGCCACAAGGCCACTTCCGGTTTTCTGGTGGTTAATTGGAGATAAGAGTCTCACAGACTTTTCTGCTCAAGCTGGCTTTGAATATTGACCTCAGCCTCCTGAGTAGCTAGGATGACAGGTGTGAGCCATTGTAACCCAGCTTAAGAGACAATTTTTCTAGGCAAACTACTTCTAGTCATTATGGATGCTGGGCTCTTCTCAAGCCTTTTCTAGAATGTCTCATAAAGACAAAAATTAAGTAGTCAGAGAACTTACAAAGTTTTGATTTTCAATTAATGTAAATAAGGTTATACTATTTTGAAAATATAACAATTTATAATAAAAGTAATTGCATTGTGGCCTCAATATGTAAAAACTGGGCCTTTGGCAAAGAGGCAAGGACTCTGTGTCCTGTCAAACCAGATATTTGCTTTGACATGTTTATGGCAGTTTTTGTGGGTTGGTTTGTTTGAATGGCATTAGGATTTAACTTCAGGGCCTTGAGCTATTTGGGTTGGCTTTTTTGCTAATGGTTATCACTTGAACAATGTCTCTATTTCTGGCTTTTTGCTGGTTAACTGAAATTAAAAGTCTCACAAATCTGTCCACACTGGCTTGGAACTAGAATCTATAGATCTCAGTCTCCTGAGTAGCGAGCATTGTAAGTATGAGCCACAAGAACTCTGTTTTTTTTCTTTTTGTATATTTTTACTGTAAAAATACTGTACAGAGGGGTTACAGTTACATGAGTAAGGTATATGAGTACATTTCCTATTAGGAACTCTGTTTCTGACATTTATTTTCAAGCAGAACCCCATAATGGGTTACTTAGTTAATTTGAATGTGTTATTTTATATGTTGTTCATGCACCTGATTTGATCACAGCTCTATTTTATGTGAAAATGTTGTCTGAACCACATTTACCATGCCATACATACCTCCAGATTCTTAACAGCTTTTAAGTTTTTGTGTAGCGTGTATGGGGGGATGGAGATTTCTAAGAATTGGAATTTATGTCTTCATGCTTGTTGGGCAGATATTGTCAACTTAAACCATATCTCTCACTCCTTTTTATTTCTTTAGTTTTAAAGGAGAGTTTCAAACTTTTTTTTTCTTATTGCTCATGTGGTGCTGAGGAATCGAACCCAGGGCCTCATGCATGCAAGGTAAGCGTTCTACCACTGACCCACCTTCCCAGCCCCGAGTTTCAAACTTTTTGCCCAAGCTTGTGCCACAGTCTTCCTACTTATACCTCTCCCATAGCAGAAGGGTTACAGATGTGTACCACCATGCCCAGCTTGTTTGTTAGGATGGATTTTGCTAACTTTGTTTCTGGGCTGATTTCAAATTGAGATTCTCCCGATCTCCATTTCATGAATAGCACTTGATTTTTTAATTCTGATTTCTGATATAGTGCTTTGTATAGTAGAATTCAAGACATTTTTGAAACATTTACTAAATGAATAAAGCACTTTTATTTAAATAAAAGATAAGATAATTCATAATTTGGCTAACTCTGCCATTAATGGAAGGAATTTCCAATATCTAAGAAAAAGAGACATGTTAGAGCACTGTCATTCTGTTAATTAAAAGCTACATAATTATTTTCACTTTCTACAATGAGAGAATGAGCATTTATACCACAACTATCTTTACATATATGCTTTCATTATGTATAATAATTGTGAGCTGAATCTTCATAATGGTAGAGATTTATTATCTCATCAAAAGAACATTTTCACTTTTAAGAGTGACTCATTACACAGCACTTTCCCATAACAAAGTTTTACTTAAAAAACATTCTAATTCGGCCATGACCTTAGGGACTACCCACTCTAATCTCTCACTTTATAGATTGGTAGACTTACCTCTTGAGAAGTTAAGTGACTTAGCAAGGCTAAAGAATTCCAAGAGTCAGCATTAAATTTAGGTCTCCTGATATTAGTCCAGGGCATACACAGCTTTCACCACCCTTTATAAAAACTATATGCTAACTATGGATTCCTAGGAACAGCAGAGGCATCATGAAAGACCACAGGCCTCTTTCCACAGGCACCTTACCTTCAGTACTGGAGATGGGTGTACTGTCACATTTGCTTTCACACTGCTGCATGGATGGAGGCCGAACAGTGTCTGGACAGTCACTAGATGCTTGTCCAGTATAGGAGAGGCACTGCACAGTACGCATTTGTTGTCCAAGGCCACACTGAGCAGAACACTGCATTCAAAGATAGAGAAAACAATTCCAGTTTCAACAATTCTTAGTACAGTACTGTAAAGCCCACAGGTGGGTCATCATTAAGGGATCATTTATTCTACTACAAAATTCATTTAAGAACTCATATCGTTGCTCTAGGAAGCCAGAGTTCAAGAGATGCTGGTTTCTTGAGCTATCTCTCCAACAATTCCATGCAACATTGATAAAATGTAGTGGGAGAAGAGTGAGAAATCCCAGTGATGAAGTAGTATACAGAGAGATTCTAGAGCTGGGTTATTACTTTTGATCCCTATTTATTTTAGGTTTATAGGTAAATAACCTGGTGGTCTATCAAATCATTACTAACATAGTAGTGGTGATTGGTAAGGAGCCTGCTAAGGGATCATTTTTAAAAAGCTTGAATAAGCACTTTAATTTTTCTAAGGTATTGTAGGTCCCAAACCTGAGAAGTGATCAGCTATTAACCAGTTAGCATGTTTCCCTTGTTCATCTGCTCAGGGATTCCGTCACTTCAGGATTGAAGTTACTGAGTGGCTGGGTGTAGCTGGGACCATTCAGCCACCTAGATTGAAGAATGGAGCTAGATCTGTTTTTTGGGCCTGTCACTCAAAAACCTGTGAGGTCTGTGATCAAAAGGATAAGGAGCCGAGCGCTGGTGGCTCACGCCTGTAATCCTAGCTACTCAGGAGGCTGAGATCTGAGGATCAAGGTTCAAAGCCAGCCCAGGCAGGAGAGACTGTGAGACTCCTATCTCCAATAAATCACCAGAAAACCGGAAGTGGCGCTGTAGCTCAAGTAGTTGAGCGCTTGCCTTGAGCTGAAGATCTGAGGGCCAGCGCCCAAGTCCAGAGTTCAAGCCCCACGACCAACCAAAAAAAAAAAAAAAGGATAAGGAGCTTACCAGCACAAAGACAGGATGGTGTATTTACAAGGTATATAGAAGCCTTATTGCATTTGTTTGCAATAACTCAGAGCAATCGCCAGATTTGCAAAGATATTCATATGCTTTCTTTTATAGAATGACAAACAAACACACTCTAAAATGTATAAACGTGTATATTATCACAATGCAGTATGAAATTGAGGCTTCTATGGGAAACATTTATTTTTATCAAGTGTATTCCATTTGAAAATTTTGGAAATGAAATGAACTACTTCTCCAGAGTTGGTGATACATCTTCATAGAACTTGGCACAGAGGAAGTATGTTTACTTACCTCAATAGGCGCTAAAAATCTTTGCCTTTTCCCAATAAAATAAATATGTATGTATACACACACACACACACACACACACACACACACACACACACACACTGTTATACTCCAAAAATGTTGAATTGTTGCCATGCTCCAGTAATAGTGGATTTTGGCCAAAAGTTTACTATCTACTTCTATGGACCCAAACCCAGGGCTTCATGCATGCTAAGTGATCATTATACCACTAAGCTAAATCCCAGCTTTGAAATGCCATTTTTAACATGTAATGACAGGTAAACAAAATCATATTGTTATAGGTTGAGTCTTGAAAATTAGAAAACGACTAATGATAGGCAAATTATAATACCACGGGATATTGGCTGGCTATAAATTTCCTTTCTATGATATTGTAGTTATAATCGTCATCATTAAGACAGGATCTTACTATGTAGCAGAGGCTTGCTTTGAACTCATGATCCTTTTGCCTCCATCTCCCAAGTATTGAGATTACAAGCTTGCTCAACATAGCCGCTTTTGTATTATCTTTAAAGTGTAATTTAACAGATACCTTCTTTGGCATTTAGAAAAACAACACTGAATTTTCCTTTGTGCTTCAAACATGCCAGTTTTTATTTTTAAGTGAAGAGATATAACTGTTTATTGTGAAAAAGTTGACATTATGAAGTGTATGTACAGGGCTGGGAAGGTGGCTCAGTGGTAGAGTGCTTGCCTTGCATGCATGAGGCCCTGGGTTCGATTCCTCAGCACCACATAAGCAGAAAAAATTTTTAAAAAGCCGGAAGTGGCGCTGTGGCTCAAGTGGTAGAGTGCTAGCCTTGAGCTGAAGAGCTGAGGGACAGCGCTCAGGCCCAGAGTTCAGGCCCACGACCGGACCCCCCCCAAAAAAAGAGAAGTGTATATACAGATACTATATAATGGCTAATTTGAGCAACTGTAACAATCAGTCTAGCTATTTAATAAAGGCACTATTTCACAAAGTTTGTCATTCTTCTTGTGATGAGAATCAACCTGTTTAACGGGGTTTTAGATAGCTAATATCAAGTTAACACAACAGTACATGAGAAAGAAAACTAGGAATTGGAACATAAAATAAAAATGAGTTCAATATAAAAAAATACATACCAAAGCCCAATTCACATCATTCCCCAGAGAAAAAGAAAACATTTGAAGTGTATTAATAATATTTTCTAAGATTGTCAAACATATTTTGAACCAACAGCTGCCCAAACTTCTCTATGAGGTTAGAAAGAACTTTTCTTTTTTTTTTTTTTTGCATGTGGGAAAATTAAGACATTGGTGTTCATTTGTTCTTGAATTAGAATCCAAAGCTTTGGTGTTTCTTCAAATCTCCACTGACTGGGTCTATGTCTATTCTAATTTTAACTTAAAACGGTAGGGCAGAAAATGTAATTAAAATTGGGATGTGTGTCTGTAATCCTAGCTACTCAGGAGTCTGGGCTCTGAGGCTCATGGTTCCAAGTCAGCCTGGGCAGGAAAGGCTTGGAACTCTTATCTCCAATAAACTACCAGAAAACCGGAAGTGGCGCTGTAGCTCAAGTGGTAGAGTGCTAGCCTTGAGCTGAAGAGCTGAGGGACAGTGCCCAGGCCCAGAGTTCAGGCCCCACGACCGACCAAGAAAAAAAAAGGGATGTGTGTGACACGCCATGGCACATGTGTGTGGAGGCAGGAAGTGTGGGTGTTCAAGGCCAGCTGGGCTAGTGAGACTCTGTCTCAAGAAGAAAAGAAAGAGATGTACATAGGTGTGGGAGAACACGACTCAATGTGCTGTGACAGACTTCCCAGTGTGAACGGCGCCTCCCTTGCAAAGACAAAACCTCAGGAGCCTCTGGATCAACAGCAACCCTCAATCCAGCCGCCTCACCTGGCCCCAGTCTCCTGTCACCCAGCGAGGAGGCGGGCAGCGGCCCAGGCTGCAGCGGATCCGAACAGGAGGTTTGCTTTCATCGGGACATTGTGCCGCTGGGAAGGTCTTGGAAAGGTCACTGCTCTTGCACAGAACAATCCGATGCTTGAATCCTGGGCCACATTTTGGTGTGCACTGGAAATAAAAACAAGTACGAATGAGTAACAGCATTGTAAAGGCAAAACTTTGAGGGAATTCTTTCAAGAAATAAATGTGCACGTGCAAACAATATATGTACACCTAAATTCTAGGCAAAAACCCTTAGGTAAGAAATTCTTTAAAAGCTTTAAAACAGAAGTGGTTTGATCTTTCCCTTAAAGTCTCAAAGAGCTGACGTCAGTGTTTGCTTCTCTCTCTCCTTCCTTCCTCCCTCCCTCCTTTCTTTCCTTTCTTTCTTTCTTTCTTTTTCCTTCCTTCCTTCCTTTCTTCTTTCTCTCTCTCTCTTTCTTTCTTTCCTTCCTTCCTTTCTTTCTCTCTCTCTTTCTTTCTCTCTCTCTCTCTCTTTCTTTCTTTCTTTCTTTCATCCAGGGCCGAGTTCGGCCTGGGCACTGTTTCTGAGCTTCTTTTGCTTCTTTTTTTAAAATTTTTTTTTATTGTAAAAATAGTGTAGTGTACAGAGGGGTTACAGTTACATGAGTAAGGTAATAAGTACATTTCTTATCAAGCATTGTTGTCTCTTCCTTTGTTTCCCCCTACCATCCCTTCCCTCCCCAACTCCTCCCACCCCCTCTCCCCTTGTAAAGTTGGTTTTCAACATAGTGTCTTGTACATCTCATTGTTACAATGGGTCAGCCTGTATCCTTATTCCAGCATTTTGTTATTTCCCTTCCTCTCCCCAAATTAGAAAAATGTCACCCCAGTTAGAATGGCTATAATCAAGAAATCTAATAACAACAGATGCTGGAAGAGATGTGGCCTAATTCATTGTTGGTGGGAGTGTAAACTTGTTGAACCACTTTGGAAAGCAGTATGGAAGTTCCTCAGAAGACTCCACATAGAGCTCCCATATGACCCAGCAATCCCACTTTTGGGCATTTACCCAAATGATCACAAACAAGACTATACTAAAGCTACCAGCACAACTATGTTTATCGCTAAGATATGGAACCAACCCAGATGCCCCTCAGTAGATGAATGGATAAAGAAAATGTGGTATATAGAGAGAGTGGAATTCTATACCTCCATAAGAAAGAATGACATCGTCCCATTTGTTAGGAAATAGAAAGACTTGGAAAAAAAATTATATTAAGTAAAGTAAGCCAGACCCAAAGAAACATAGGTCCCATGGTTTCCCTTATTTGCAATAACTAGTATAAGTCTAGGATAAGCAGAAAAGGCCAAAAGCTTCTGAGCTTCTGTTTTGCTCAAGGCTAGCACTCTACCACTTGAACCACAGCACCACATGTGGCATTTTCTGGGAAGTTAATTGGAGATAAGAATCTCATAGATTTTCCTGCCTGGGCTGGCTTCAAATAGTGATAATCAGATCTCAGCCTCCTGAGTAGCTAGGATTACAGGTCTGAGCCACTGGTGTCTGGCTCAGTATTTGCTTCTCCTGGCTAATTTATTTTCTTCTTTTACTAGGGATAGGCTTATTCCTCACTCCTCCTTATCCTGGGTTTTATTCGGCTGTAATTAAATGCTCCTTCAATTTTGGAATGTGGAATTCTTGGTTTCCTACCTGCTGGTGTAGTTTTCTTCCTTTTGCTTTTTTTTTTAGAGTATTTTTTTTATTACAAAGATACTGTACAGAGGTTACAGTTACATGAGTAAGGTAAGGAGTACATTTCCTATGGAGCATTGTTACCCCCTCCTTTGTTTTTCCGCTACCATCCCTTCCCTCCCTGCCTCCCAACTCCTTCCTCCCCTCACCCCAAACTGTGAAGTTCGTTTTCCACATAGTGTCTTGTACATCTCATTGTTAAAATGGGTCAACCTGTATTCTTATTTCAGCATTTTGTTATTTCCCTTCCCCTCCCCAAATTAGAAAAATGTATAAACAAGATGCAGGGCACAAGAATCAAATACAGTGAAAACAGGGATTATACCATGGGGGAAGAACATACAAAAGAAACAATTTTTTTTAAAAATCACATGATAAATATATTATAAATATATATATTATAAATTATTATAAATATATTAAAAACAACAGCAAGAAAGATAAAAACCTCTTGTGTCCCTATGTTGGGGTTCATTTCACTTAGCATCATCTTATATGGTTGGTGTAGCTTTCTTAAGGGATTTTTTTTGTTATTAGTAGACCAGAAGGACTTGTCTTTGTGATGCAACTATTCTTATTGTGTGGTACCTAAGAATATACAGGTATTGCACAAAGAAGGAAGGAAGGAAGGAAGGAAAGAAGGAGGGAAGGAAGGGAGGGTGGGAGGGAATGCAGGAAGGAGGGAGGGAGGGAGAGAGGGAAACAGGCAGGCAGGCAAGCTCCATGTTTCCTTATCCACCAATTACAAACCTAATGAACTTGACTGTTCTTTAGAATAGGGTCTGTCTACTTTTCAAACTGAGGAATGGTTGCTTCTTCTCATGTCATAAATGTTATTAACCTCATCTCTACATATTTCTAAGCCACCTCTTTAATGGAAGTGGCTGATTGAAGGACTGAAACTCTTCAGCTTTCCAAAATGTCTAGGTTCTTCCTTAAAATATGTCCTTCCTCTTATTCAAGCGAGGGCCTAGCCTCACTGTTTCTATGTGTTTCATTCAGGAAGTATACAAAACTGGAGACATAAAATGAAGGTAGATCGTTTCTAATTTTAATGAATTCATAGTCTTATTTAGGACATAAACGTGACCGTACACTAATGTTACACACCATAAAGGTGCATGCAGAACATATCAATTCTTGTGTGCCTAATCATCACTAGTTTGTTTCATAATTACTTATTTACATATCTTTCTCATCTCTATCACAATATAACCTGAAAATTACTCTACTTCTGTTTCTGGTCCCGCTATTCATTTGATCACACATTCTGGCTGAGGGCTTTGAATAAGCACCTAATAAATATATGTTATTCTTTATCCCAAAAGATGATGTTTTGATTTACTGAATGGCGATGTCTTAATAAATACTGTATACATTATTTATTTTTTGCAGTGCTAGGACCTTGCTTGCATTATGCTCTACCACTGAGCTATATTCCCAGCCTCTGTACACATCTTTAAGTGATGGTGTTAGTAAGGGTCATCCTTGAGCCTGGTATATGTAATAGAAAGAATAATACTGATTTTTTTCCAGGTACAAATCAAGGATTCTATTCACTCTCCTTATCACAATGAATGCAGTAACAGAATGTATTACCTCCAGCTTAGTAAGTTTCATTGGAACTAATTTTAAAGGATGATAGTATATCCAAGACAGATTTAGAAGAAGCAAAAGCTGGGGAGTTTAGATCAAGAGAGAAATCCTTTTCACAGCCAATAATACCCTTCAATCTTGCTGCCACCTCATTCTACCTAGATAATAGTCTCTCATATTATTAATCTGTCTTAGAAGTCTCTTGTACATCTATTGATTTCTCTCCAGCTCCACTGCTACTAAACTTACTTCAGACAAATATTATTTCCCATATGAAATTTTGCAACTACTTCCTAATAGCTCTCCTGGTTTTTTTTGTTTTTTTTTTTTCTCTTGCCTCACTCCAATCCACTTTCTGAACATCAGAGGAAATTTTGTAAAGCACGAGTCTGTTAATATTGCCTTTTAGCTTCAAAAAATCCTTAATGGTTTACTATTGCTTTGAAGATAAATTTTAAACTCTTTGAATGTGCAAGGTTCTACTTAACCTCTTCAGATTAATTTCTCTATATCTTTGCCATGCTAACTATTTGTAGTAGTCTCTAGTGCTATCCCAATGCCAGGCACAAGCTAACAATGCTGCTGCTTCTGGAGTTACAATGACTGATAACCACCCCCCCCCCACATACCCCACTATTCTACTAGCTTTTTTTTTTTTTGGTGCCAGTCCTGGGGCTTGAATTGGGGGTCTAGGCACTGTCTCTGAGTTTCTTTTGGCTCAAAGCTAGTGTTCTACCACTTGACTACCACTTACAGCTTTTTTGGTAATTGGACAGAAGAGTCTCACAGACTTTCCTGCCTAGGCTGGCTTTGAACTGTGATCCTCAGATCTCAGACTTCTGAGTAACTAGGATTACAAGTATGAGCCATTGGAGCTTGGCTCACTATGAACTACTGTTGAACAAACACTATATGCTAAATATGATGCTAAAACGCCTGTGAGATGGCAATTATTATATTTTTAAAGCAAAAAATTTAAATGATTGGTAGAAAATTGTAAATATTACATGTCTATGGATGATTTATGTTCAGATGGGTCATGGGTGTCTGACTAGATACTAAATTTTTTTTGGGGGGGTCTGGTCGTGGGGCCTGAACTCTGGGCCTGGGCGCTGTCCCTCAGCTCTTCAGGTCTACCACTTGAGCCACAGTGCCACTTCCAGCTTTTTTCTTTTTGCTTATGTGGTGCTGAGGAATTGAACCCAGGGCCTCATGCGTGCAAGGCAAGCGCTCTACCACTGAGCCAACTTCCCAGCCCCAACTAAATATTTCTAATACTTCTAACAATAATAGTAATAACTCTATTTCCTGGATATAAGTCCTTGTACTATATACTTTGCTTATATTGCTGAATTTAATCCCCACAGCAACCCTATAACTTTACACTTCACATATGTAATAACTGCTGTAGAATAAACAAAGTATTCAAATCTCTTGATTTTGCCTCCCTTTGTCTTTTAATTTAAAGTCAAATCTCTTCCATTATCCCAACAAAGCATTAGGGGATTTTTGCTACCCTGTGAGTGCAGTATATCACCTTGAATAATAGGTACACTAAGGAATCTACTACTTTACACTCCATTAAGGCTTCATAGTTTACAAAATATGTTCAAATATTTTATTAAACAAGTATTTGAGAATTATCATAAATGAGGAAAGGTTAACTGACTTAATGAAGGGTAAACAGCAAATAACAGAGCTAAAACTAAGTCCTAACCTTCTAACTTAACATTGTGATTCATTCTTCAGGACCTACCTATTATCCATTCCTCTGTTATTATAATCACTATCCCAGACTGCTCTTTATTCTTACAGA